CTCTCCACAGCAAGGTTCTGGGGCTTTTTGCCCTCAGTGTTGTGGCCCTAGCTTTGGGCCTAACTTGGGCTCCGGGTCTCTGTCCCTGGAGCTTGGGGCTCAGAGGAGCCTCTGCCCAGCCCCTCAGTATTACCATGTCTCCTTCCTCTTAGGGGTAGCAGAGACAGGGCTGCTTGTAGGAAGCTGGCACCACTCAGCTCTCCCTGCTACTCCAGCTTCCTCAGCCTCTGCAAGGCACTCAGGGTGGGGGACGGCAGGATCAAGACAACCAGTTGGAGCCCTGTGTTCCAGAGGGCCTGATGCCAAGGGGTAATGGGCCCAGCACTGCCTCTGGAGCCCAGGCCCCAACACAGCCCCATGGCCTCTGCCAGATGGTTTTGAAGGCGATCCAAGCAGGCCCCTTATCTGTACATAGTGACTGAATGGGGGTGCTGGCAGGTGTGACAGCTGCCTCTGGGCAGAGCACAGCCTGATCCCTCTAGCCCCTGTAAATACTGGATCAATGAATGAATAAAACTAAGAATCTCCTGAGAAATGAACCCTCCTGTGGTTGCTGGCCTGATGCGGAGGCTGGGCTACATGTGTGTGGTGGGAGGGAGGGACTTACTAGACCTTGTGGGCCCAGGGCCCTGGGACCAGAAAGGCAAGAAGTATATGATCCTTGAGTGTCCAGCTGTCTTGGGCCAGAGATCCTTGGGACCCTAGACATAGGATTTAGAACCTGAGCTAAGGAGGGGCTTCTGGTGGGCTGTGGACAGGGTATGCTTTCTGGGGAGAAGGCTTTCAAATCTGGCTTTGCAACCTGGAGAGGGGCTGGGACTCCCAGTCAAAGAGGCAGCGCTGCCTCTAATCTTGCCTGGTGTGTTCTCCCTGGGAGGGTGCTGGGCGTCTCTTCCTTGTGTTTGTATAGGCAAAACAGGTCAATGCTGCCACCGCTGTCCTGCTCTCCCCTGCTGACTGCATCGTCTGCTGAGGCTGCTGTAGCCCCTCACCACCCCACTGGCAGTGAGTCCAGAGGGGCCCTCATGCAAGCAGCTGAGGCACAGCTGGACTGTTTAGAAAATTCAGCTTTAATGGCCCGAACCCTTCTGTCTGAGTTTAGTAGTCCAGGGCACAGATGAGGGCCACACCACGTTTTATCCAGTGTCGCTGGGGCTGATGGGTGGGGATCTCCACAGCAATGACATAGTTGGTGGAGTGGCCTGTGGTTGATAGTGTTCCTGGAATGGGCAAGGAGGGGGACAGGTTAGGTCATGCCCCATTACTACTAGAGCAGGGATGGTGTAGGGGCAGGGTAGTGGGCAGACTAAGCTGAGGACAGGGAGGGAGGCCCTGACCCAAGAGGAAGCCTGCCGGATGAGCTGGTCTGGCCAGGGTTCAAGCCTACCCAGGGTTACTGTATTAGGGACTGAAGAACTGAAGATAGAGATGGCAAAGTTGATGCTACTTTTCATTCTCTGATGGACCCAGCCCAGACAAGTTCCTGTTCTGGGCCTCAGTTACCCTTTGAACTCTCAGTGACAGGCCAGGGCTTGTAGGCTTCTAGGACCCAAGGTAGGCCTGCTGAAGGATAGGAGCTCAGGGTGCTCCCCACAGCTGGATGGCAGGCCTTGGGCATTAATCTGCTTGCAGCTTGCTGGCCTGGCCCAGATCTCTATATTCATTCCTTGTTCAGCTAACCTGGGTCAGTCTGACTGGCTTGGGCTGGGCTGGGTTGGGTTAGTCCTGGGTCCCCACCTGTAGTGTAGGCTCCCACCCCAGGCCTCATACCAGCACGAGTCAGTGTCTTGTAGATGGGGCACAGGTAAAAGTCCTGGTCTTGGGCCTTGCGGTTGGGTGTTGGCAGGAGCCAGATAATGGCCATCTCTGTGTACAGCTCCTTGGGCTGAGACTCGGCCAGCTGGAAGGCCTCTGGATCCCAGCGGGCACCTTCCAGGAAGAGTCCATGGATATAGCACCCTATTTGGGGTCTTCGTGTTAACTGCGATGATGCCTTAGACATTACCTGTGGGTAGACACAGACACACCCCATATACATACCAATACCCAGAATCTGGGTTAGGATTTTGATCAGGAGACACAAATCTCCCTTCTGAGAGCTGAGTATTGCCTAATGCTGCCTGCCTGCTCATCATGTACCTACCACTTTAGCCCGGGGCCTGTGGTCTGTGCCCTGCCCCTGTGGATTTTGATGGACCCAGCCCAGACCCGTTCCTGGGACTCATGGCCTCTTCTGGCCTGGGTCTTCCCAGGCCCTGGCTTAGGGATTCCCCAACTGCCCACCAACTATGGCCTCTTTTCTGCCTGGGGTGTACCCTAGCCGGTCACCTGACCTGGGCCTGGCTGTGCCCAGACCTTGAAATCAAAGGAGATGGTGTCGATGGAGATGACAAATTTGCGGGCAAAATTCTGCAGAGTGCCTGTCAAGAAAGCCTGGGGGAAGAAGAAGCCACTGATCCAGAAGATGGCTGGGATGCCACCTTCAATCCAGGCCTGCAGAAAGTCCAGGCGTTGCAGCAGGTCCATGACCCACGAGGACAGAGGCTTGAGTGATGGGTAGGCCTTGGCACTCCAGAGCTCAGGCACAGTATTGTTGTACAGGCTGGCAGCCATCAGTTCCAGCTGTGAGGACATCACCACCAGCCCCTTGAGTGCCTTGAGCAGGTCTTGCAGTGTCTGTGTGATCACCTGCAGCAGCCTATTGTACCTATGAGGCCAGTGGCAAGGGAACAGGCAATGGGCTGGGGTCGTGTGACAGTGGCTATGCTCCCCAGTTCAAGGCCACAGACTGAAAAACATTGGCAGAATATAGAGGCTAAGAGCAGAGAGCTGTGTCAGGTGGACTGGGTACAATCCCAGCTCTGGCCCTTAGCAAATGTGTGAAGTTGGACTTGGACAGCTTACTGAACAGTTTGGGGGCCTCAGTTTACTCATCTATAAAATGGGAATAATAAAATGGCACCTGGTCCATAGTAACTCCTGGTGTCATTTCTCTACAGTCCAGTGGCTGCTGACTTGGGGCAGGTGTATGGCAGGGTGATTACCTAATGACCTCTTGTACTAGCACTGTGTTCATTGATTCCTCATACAGCACTGGGTATTTGGCCATCACCAATTGCAAGTTGATAGGCTCAGGCACCTTGAGCAGAATGTTTTGGGCGATGTCCTCCACTATCTGCAGGGGCAAAGGAACACTGGGGGTCAAGGCTGGCCCCCATTATCCCCTGTGGGATTCCACATGCACAGAGCTCGTCCCACAGGGGAGTGGGCAGGATGGTGGAGCCTAGCCCATCAAGCCCTTAGGCCCCTTCCTCTGACACCACCCACCTCCTCCCGGCCCTGGCTGCCTGCAGAAGACGATTTGGGTTGCAGCTGGATGATGGCACCCAGCAGGGCAAACGTCTCATTCTGGGCAAAGGTGATGTTGGCATTGTCATGCAGGCCAAAGATCTCAGGCATATCATTGAGTGGCAGGCTCTTGATGTAGGAGAGGTAGCCCTAGGAGGGAGGAGGCCAAAATGGAAGCCCCTGGCTTGCTCCACCCCAGCCTTGAGAGTCACCCTCCAATGGAGCACATCCCCACTTGTCACATCCCTCACTCGTCACCCCTGCTTATAATCCTTATGCATGTCCCTGCTCTTGGGACTCCCCCTTGTTACCGCCACCCATCCCCTGCCCCTCTATTCAGTGGCCCAAACCCATCAGGCTCCCTCCTGGTGCAGGCCCTTTACACTGATGACCCACGCAACCCAGCCCCAGCTCATGGCTTCTCCCCACACATCTTAGGAGGAGCATCATTTTTGTGGCAGCCCTCCCTGACTGCAGAGTCTGGGCCTGGTTACCATCTTGGAGGAGCTGCCCCAAGCCCTCACTGAGTAATTCCACCTAGGGAGTGGCTGACCAGGTATTCACCCACAGAAGCGAGCCCCAGCGGGCAGGGACTGACTCCCTTGCCAAGGCTGTCTTTGTGGGATGGATTGATCAATGAAAAGAAAGCTGATGGAGGGTGGAGGCTGCGTCTTTTCTCATCCAGAACCCCAGCCTGGCAGGCCCTTCCTGTGCAGCGCTTTGGGCTGGACTCACGTGGAGGTCACTGGTGGGTGGGATCTGGTGGTAGATGCCCGAGGCACTGTAGCTGTGCTCAGGGGAGAGCACATCGGGGCTGTAGAAGTCCTCCAGGATGTTCATGATGCAGCGCCGGTCCCAGTCGTCAGTGACACGGCCCCCGTAATTGATCTCCCCTGCCGTGTACTTGAGGACCTACGGGGTGGGTGGGTGAGGGCTCCCATTAAGTGCCCAGTCCCCAGGCCCCAGTCTGCCCCAGGCCCACCTTGTAGGGGATGTCATCATATTCATCCAGGAACATCTTGAGCTGGCTGATGCAGATGCGCAGGTCTCCATCTGTGAACTCATAGGGGATGTTGAAGCCTAGGGGCCCAAACTTACGGCGCTCCAGGGCGTTCCCATGGAACAAGCTCAGAGACAGCAGCAGAGACTTGAACTCTGTCACCTGCGGGAGGTGGGAGGCAGGGGAGGTGAGGAGCGGGGCCAGGGGCCAGGTAGGGCAGGCCTGCACCAAGTATGCCTCACCTTGTGGCAGGAGTTGAGGAAGTCTTCACTGAGGCTGCTGTAGGACTTCAGCAGGTTGGCCTTAACACCGCGTGGCGGCTCAATGGTCATCTTGGAGCCGTTCTGCAGGATGGACACTGGGAACTTGTTGCTGGGCAGGCTGGTGAGCCAGAGGCGGAAGTCCCTGTGCACCTAGTGGCCACAGCTCCCCATGAGCATTGAGACCCATACCTGGTGGCCACCACGACACCAGGCTCCCTCCTGCCCACGGACCCTGGGCCCACCTTCAGCCTGACTGCAGCCCTGAGGTGGGCCAGCTGAGGCTGCACAGACAACTGGTTAAGAACTGGGCTTTAGCAGGCCAGGCGCAGTGGCTTACGCCTGTAATGCCCAAACTTTGGTAGGCCAAGGTGGGTGGATGGATCATGAAGTTAAGAGATCAAGATTATCTTGGTCAACATGATGAAACCCTGTCTCTACTAAAAATACAAAAATTAGCTGAGCGTGGTGGTGTGCACCTGTAGTCCCAGCTTCTGGGGAAGCTGAGGCAGGAGAATTGCTTGAACCCGGGAAGCAGAGGTTGCAGTGAGCTGAGATCGCGCCACTGCACTCTAGCCTGGCAATCTCAAAAAAAAAAAAAAAAAAAAAAGAATTGGGCTTTGGCAAGTCCCAGGTCACTGGTCTGTGCTAGGTAGCCCTGGGCAAGTCACATCACCACTTGTACCAGTAACTGGGGGTAGAGGGTGGATTGAGAGGATTAATCCAGTCAATGTGTGGCACATGTCAGTTGCTAAGCACTTGCTACACGCTGGAGGCTGGGCGGAGTAGTTTGCATGATTCTCTTAATTTCTGGCTCATTAGATCCTGATGGATGCAGAGGAGGCCTCAGTGGGTCTGTGATGGGCAGGGCAGCACACCTTATCTGGGTTGATGTGCTCGATGAGGTGTTCCAGGGCTGGCATCCAACTTGGTGCCAGGTGGCAGTTCTGGAAGAAGACCCACTTGCCCCTCTCTATGGAGCTACGCATCATGGCTTCCGCCCGAGGGCCCTGCAGGAGCAGGAACACTGAGCAATGGGGCCAGCTGGCCCAACCCCAGCCCACTCCCTTCCTCCCTGCCTAGCCCTCACCTGTCCCTGGCCCAGGGAGATGGCAGAGAGCTTTTTGGAGAACTTCATTTCATCAGCAAACTTGTAGAGGTCGGCAGCAGGGTCTGTGCCAGGTGACAGCACAAAGATGAGGGGTGTGGTAGAGTTGGAGTCTTTGAACACCACTGACAGGTTGGCTGTCTGCAAGGGCAGGGAGAGATGCTGAGACCACCTGGGGCTGCAGAGCGATCAGGGCAAGGGAGGCGGATCTGAGGTTCTCAGAGTGGTCCCTGATGGGCTTTCTGGTGGGGGCTAGAACCTCTCAGAGCCTTTAGGGAGCAAGGAGAGGTCCTGACCTAGCCAAGGCTGCAAAGTAGTCTATTCAGGTGCAGCCAGGGCTCTGGGACCCGGGACGGGGACGACCCCAAGGTGCCAGTCCTGCCAGGGTGCCAGCACTTGCCTGGGGCTCAATGAAGCGTGGCTCCAGGTTGGTGGCCACAAAGTCCTGCATGGCATTGGTAACCTTGTCCCCACGCAGGCATCGGAGGACTAGGAGCTTCTGGAACTGATCTAGGTACTGGTCCCAGATGCCAGGCAAAGGCTCCCTGCAACAGTGGTCCATACCTCACTGAGAGCCAGTCTGTTGGAAGGAGACTGGTGATCCTAGGGATTCTGCCAGCTGGACAGGGGAGAGTGGGCTATCCCAGGGATGTGACACTGGAGGCACATAGATGTGTCCACAGCCACGGGGAAGCCCTGGATGGCTCCTTAGAGAAGGGGCTCTAGGGGGCTTTAGCCCCTCATTTCCTAGGGGCTCTTCCCCTTGATGTGCTCATCCTGCCATATTCTGGGGCCCAGCTAACCGGTGGGGCTCAAGGCTGTCGAAGATGACTCGGAATTCTGAGAGGTGCTTCACAAAGTCGGAAGAGAAGGAGGAAAAGGTTGCCAGGTTCGAGAGTGCTAGGATGTCTCGCCAGGCCCGGTCTGACAGCCAGTCGGGTGCTGGATTCTCAGTCACAATCTGGATGGAGCCCCCAGACAGGAGGTAGCGCCACTCACTCTGCCAGGAGACAAGAGGAGGCTGGTGCCCAGGCCCTGGCCAGCTCCTCCTCCTCTGGGCACCCCCACCCAGTAGTGCCTCTCATACTCCCCTCACCTGGAGAAACTGAGTCTCCCTTGGGGGTGGTAGTTGAACAGGTCTGGGTTAGTATTCCCACCCTGCCTTTCCTGGCTGTGTGACCTTAGAGCAAGAGATTTGACTTCTCTGAGCGTCTGCCTTCTCATCTGAGAGTAGAAAGAATCAGAAGGCTGACTGCTTCCCAGGCCAGAGCCCTGTGCCAGGCACCGTCTAGGGCTCCGGCAGTGGTGGCTGTCACTCTCACTGTCTCAGCAGGGCTTTCCACTGCACCACAAAATGCGTGGGGCTTCCTGAGAGCGTGAGCCAAGCAGGTGTGGCAGGCTCAGGGCAGTCTGTCCCTGGGGACAGTCTTCATGCTCACCAGCACACTAAAGGATTGAGAAGGCCTGTGCTCACAGCATTGGCCTTCTTGGGCCTCGAGACATTGGTTGGACCACAATTAACCCAGGGTCTTCTGGCTGTTTTATTTATTTATTTTGAGACAGAGTCTCACTCTGTCTTTCAGACTGGAGTGCAGTGGCGCCATCTCACTCACTGCAACCTCCATCTTCTGGGTTAAAGTGATTTTCCTGCCTCAGCCTCCTGAGTAGCTGGGATTATAGGCATGCACCACCACACCCAGCTAAGTTTTGTATTTTTAGTAGAGACCAGGGTGGTCTTGAACTCCTGGCCTCAAGTGATCCACCCGCCTTGGCCTCCCAAAGTGCTGGGATTACAGGTTGAGTCACTTTGCCTGGCCCTGGCCTTTTTTTTTTTTTTTTTTTTTTTTTTTTTTTTTTTTTTTTTTTTTTTTTTTTTTTTTTTGAGACGGAGTCTTGCACTGTTGCCCAGGCTGTATCGCAGTGGCATGATCTTGGCTCACTGCAATTTCCAACTCCTGGGTTTAAGCAATTTTCCTGCCTCAGTCTCCTGAGTAGCTGGGACTACAGTCATGTGTGCCACCACGCCCAACTAATGTTTTTGTGTTTTTAGTAGAGATGGGGTTTCACCATGTTGGCCAGGATGGTCTCGATCTCCTGACCTCGTGATCTGCTCGCCTCGGCCTCCCAAAGTGCTGGGATTACAGGTGGGAGCCACCACACCCGGCCCTAGCTGTTTTTAATCAAGGAATTGTTTCCTCTGCCCCTTTGCTCTTGCGGTGCCCTCATGCCTGGCTTTCTCTTTCCTTCCGCCCTGTTCTCAGGCCCTGCACAGGGCCACCCCTCAGGATGTCTGTCCTGGGTGTCTCTGCCAGCACCTGGTTGATTTTGCCCTCGTTCATCATGATGCGAACACACAGCAGGAAGGCAAACATCAGCTTATGCTTCTCAAAAAGGCTGCGACAGACGTTGCTGTAGAGGCTGTAGGTCAGGTAGCGGTTGATGTTGGAGATGCGCTTCTTCAGGTTGTCTGTGAGTGGAGAAGTGATGGCGTGCGGAGAGGTGAGAGGAAGGAAGAGCCCCGGAGTCCAGCCCAGCCTAGACAGTCTCCCGAGCAGCCTAGGGGCAGCCTGGGTCTCCCTTTGGGGCACTTGGTGTTCCCAGTGAAGGGGCGGGGAGGAGGGTAGGGAGTGCTGTGTGCGTTCTTATGTATTGTGAGTCTAATAGGAGAGGGCATGCCAGTGAACACAGTTGAGTTTGTGTGTGCCCCACAGTGGAAATGTGTCCATATGGGTCATCTCTGTGCAGGGTAGCAGCCTGGCGTCCTGGCGCTACCTGCTCTCTCTGAGTTGGCGATGCCCGAGAGGAAGATGTTGAGAAACCACTCGAGGGAGTACTGGTACATTGGGTCCACGTTGGCCAGGTCAGACACACAGAAAAAGAGGATCTGGGTACGGACGGCCACGGGTATGTACTCCATGCGGGTCAGGTCAATGTCCTTCTCCGTCTGCTCTGCAATCCTGACCTTGGCCTGTGGGTGCCATGGGTCGGGGAGGGGTCAAAGAGCAGAAGGCAGAGGGCTTGGGGGGCAGGCAGGGAGAGGTGGTTGCAGGCCCGGGGCAGACCCAGGGCAGGTGGGTGGGCAGACAGTGCTGACCTGGATCTCAGCGGCCTTCATCTTAGAGGCTTCCAGAACCTTGATGAGTTCCACGTCATCTACAGGGTTGCCCTCGGAGGAACTGAGCCGGTACAGGATCTGGTCCTCAATGTCCTTCAGCTCGTGGCGCATCTTGGCATTACTGATAATCAGCTGGTTCTTGGCCTCCTCCAGGTCAGGTCGCTCCTCTGCCACTACCTGGCCCAGTAGCTGGTCCTCTAGGCCACTGTCGGGGGCAGGGGACAACAAGTCTATAATACCTGGTGGGCCCTGGAGGACCAGCCGTGAACTTGCTCACCTATCCATCTGTGCTTCTGCGGCTCCAAGAGCCCAGCATCCTTGCCAGTGTTGGCCTAGGAGGCCTAGCCTCCATCTCAGGCTGCAGGGCTAGTGCAGAGCCTGCCTTCGAAGACACCAGTTCTCAGTGAGCCCTTGGGTGGCAGCCTGGAATCCTAGAAGGGGCTGACAAGCTGAATATGTGAGCTGCTGGGGTCTCCGGACAATACCTCCTTGGCAGGAGGGGGCTGTGGGTGATACACAGAGACAGGATGTTTTCATCCCCTGCTTTGTGGAGAAGTTTACACTGACCACTGAAATGGAGGCCTTCGCACAAAGCAGGCCTGTGGGCTGTGGTCTGTTTATGGAAGGCCAGCAAAAACCACAGTGCCTGGACTCGTGACAGCAAGGATAGGAAGCAGGACACTTGGGTTCAGGGAGCCAGAGTGTGCTCACCTCAGGGTTCTGGGGCAGCTCTGAGGATGAGGGCACAGAGCCCGGCAAGGGCTCAGCAGGAGAGAAGGGGTCCCTGGAGGAGGTGAGGCTAGTACTAGACACGGAGGCTGGGGACCCTGACCAGGGATCTGGATGAGGTGGGATGAAGGTTCTTAGGTGGAAACAGTGGCAGGTAGGAGAAGCTAGTGGAGGGGCTAGAAAGACTTGGAATGTGAGTGCCTGGGGGGGAAACTGGCAAAGACTTTGAGTGGGGGAAAGCCCCACTGAGTCCCAGCCTAGGGCTGGGAGAGGGACAGCTTGGCAGGCAGAAGCAGAGCTGATGTGTGGGGGTCCCCAGAGGCAGGGGCTTACCTGGGCGACAGGGTGAAGTTGATGAGGGTGAGTTTGGTGGAGATCTCGGGTGTGTAGTGTGGGTTGGGCAGCTTGGTGGTGATGTACATCCTGAAGTCCTCATGGTAGGGGATCACCGTGTCCCCCAGCTTCAGCACCGTGTTCCCCTGCTGCTT